AGACCTACGGGAGGCGTGGAAGAAGGCAACAAGCCAGACCCCCAATCTCGGAACGAGACGGGGGTCTGGGATTGCAGCACGAAAACCTTGCACGAGGCATGGACGGGGGGTCACCTTGCACGAGGCATGGAAGGCGAAAGACCTACGGGAGGCGTGGAAGAAGGCAACAAGCCAGACCCCCAATCTCGGAACGAGACGGGGGGTCTGGGATTGCAGCACGAGGAGGCGTGGAAGAAGGCAACAAGCCAGACCCCCAATCTCGGAACGAGACGGGGGGTCTGGGATTGCAGCACGAAAACCTTGCACGAGGCATGGAAAGCGAAAGACCTACGGGAGGCGTGGAAGAAGGCAACAAGCCAGACCCCCAATCTCGGAACGAGACGGGGGGTCTGGGATTGCAGCACGAAAACCTTGCACGAGGCATGGAAAGCGAAAGACCTACGGGAGGCGTGGAAGAAGGCAACAAGCCAGACCCCCAATCTCGGAACGAGACGGGGGGTCTGGGATTGCAGCACGAAAACCTTGCACGAGGCATGGAAAGCGAAAGACCTACGGGAGGCGTGGAAGAAGGCAACAAGCCAGACCCCCAATCTCGGAACGAGACGGGGGTCTGGGATTGCAGCACGAAAACCATGCACGAGGCATGGAAAGCGAAAGACCTACGGGAGGCGTGGAAGAAGGCAACAAGCCACGGGGGGTCTGGGATTGCAGCACGAAAACCTTGCACGAGGCATGGAAAGCGAAAGACCTACGGGAGGCGTGGAAGAAGGCAACAAGCCAGACCCCCAATCTCGGAACGAGACGGGGGGTCTGGGATTGCAGCACGAAAACCTTGCACGAGGCATGGAAAGCGAAAGACCTCCGGGAGGGGTGGAAGCGCCTTTGGGAAGAGAAAAAAGGAAAAGAGTACACCAGGCACCGTCGCCCTGACGGGAGGAATACGGGCGAGGAGGGGGGTGCTCATCGGCGCAAAAAGCCGCCTTAGTGCCGCCCCCGGTGTCCCCCCACCTCGGCAAGACCCCGTAAATCCTCTCACAACCCGTCAGAACCGGGGGACGATGCCAGACAGTTTTTGCTTCTAAACTCATAGGGATCCTTAGGGGTGTAGGGGGAGGGGGGGTAGGGGGCCTTAAGGCCCATAATAAGGACTAATAAGGCCTATTTAAGGAAATATAGTCCCCTACACCCCTCCCCCCTACACCCCTAAGGATCCCTATGATAAACCTTCAGGTTAGGGGAGGTTAAGGGTTTAGGAGCTTAGTGGTTTAGGGTTTAGGGTCTAGAGGTTTAGTGGCTTTTGCTTCTAAGCCTTCAGATTATAGTGAACCCCAGAAAGTCGGAACATGGATTTAGGATGAGTAATGCTGGGATCCCCTGTACTTTACCTACCTTAAGGGTATGAGGGCAATTATGCTCCAACTTTCTGGCTTCTAATACAGGGGAGGTTTAGTGGTTTAAGGTCAGGCTTTTTGAGCTCAGCATCGGATGTAATTGACGTGGAGCTGTAGTTTGCAAGCATGCCCAGGGTCCCCAAGTACGTCAATGAGCTTCGGGCTTAGGATTATCTAGGGCTTCAGGGGTTTAGGAGAATTTGGGACTTCGTGGTTAGGATGCTGGTTATGGCTTTGTCCATTCTGTGACAGGGTGACGATCTCCAGAAATGACTAGAAACCTCCGCCTCGCTGTCTACCCCTTCCATTCGGCCTAGCCGTGATGGTCTCGGCGGTGTGCTTGCAGGATCATGAAACTTCGATGCACTTAACAGGTTTAAGGCTTTAAGTTACAAAGGTTACAAGCATCCGACATCATACTACGGTAATTACAGTCCTAATGATCCTCCAAGTGGCAACCGCTTTTGGCATCGTTGATGGTCCTGACTGTTGAAGACAGCCGAGCAGGGGACGCCCGTGAGCGGGACTCAACTTGACATGAGTCCAAAAACGTAAGAAAAAATGAGCCCTGTCTATGCTTGTCTTCTGTTCCTATGCTTGGCTTCTGTTGTACCGCTTTCACGCACTGTGCTTGAGGCAGACCTGTGAAATTCCCCAAGCTCCATCCCTGAACCCTAAACCCTGAATCCTTAAACCCCTAAACCCAAAACCCTATACCCTTGAACCCTAACCCCTAAACCCTAAACCCTAACCCCTAAACCCCAAACCCTAGACCCTAAACTCCGAAACTCCGAAGCCCAAAGCCCGAAGTCCGAGTGGCTGAGACGCCAGGCCCAAAGCCCAAATCCTGGACCTAAGGCCACAGAACCAGAATTCTTAAGGGGTTTAGGGTTCAGGAGTTTAGGGGTTTAGGGGTTAGGGGTCAAGGCTCTCGGAGTTTAGGGTTTAGGGCTGAGGGTTTTGGGTTTAAGGGGTTCAGGGTTCAGGGATTAAGGCTCTCGGAGTTTAGGGTCTTTTTGGTTTAGGGTCTCGGGGTTTAAGGCTACGGGTTGCGTGCTTTAGAACTTTGACGCCAAGCCCACAGCATTAAACCCTAAGCCCAATGCCCCAAGAAAGATTTAATAGGGTCCCTTAAAGGAACCCGTTAAAGGAGCCCTTGAACCCTTAAAGGAACCCCTATAGCGTAAAAGCCCCGACCTCCTTCCGCATAAAGACCCACAGTGTGTTTAGGATGCGGTCGATTTGCCAGAACTGGGGAGTTTGAGTTTAACGTGTTGGCTCGGATTCCAGGAGAGTTGGGTTTATGGCATATGGGTGGTTGTCAAAACTATGGTCCTGTTTGGGGTTCCTAAACGGGGCCCTAATTTTGACAGCTACCCATGTGGTGTTTGAGAAGGAAGTGTACTGCGTTGCATGACTGACTGTGCCGTAGAGTCTTTCCTCAGCTCCGTAGCCTGATGTGCAAAGCAAACGGATGTTATGCAGGCCTTCCATTCTGTACCCAACATCACAAGAGCTTGATGCCAAAAGTACAAAAGTATCGCCTACGCCGAAGGGACACGGAGTGGGCATGCACCTTCAGGCATAACAATCAGTTGTGTAATTATACAGGTGCATCTAGCTTACTGACTTGGCCCGCTACCTTGTAACCCGTATGGAATTAGAACCCCCGTACTACCTTGATAGAAGCCCCATAAAAACCCTAGTATGCTAACTAAGTCCCATGAACCTCCAAGTCGCCTTGGGGCCCGTGGCGCGAGCGCTGCTCAATCGAGCCACACCATGGCTTGGTCTTGCTGCGTGCCATGCTCTGCTTTAGGGTTTAGGCTTTAGGGTTTGGTTTGGGATTTAGGGCCTAGTTTAGGGCTTAGGGGCTTTAGGCTTTAGTTTAGGGTTTAGGGTTTGGTTTAGGTTTTGGGGCCATGCTGCAGGTTTATTTGCTGTTGGCCACAGTCGCTGCTGCCCCGTCAGCCCGGCGAGATCACGCAGCCGCTGCTTCTGACACTGGCGACGTACTGTGGTTTTACGGTGGCAAGGCATCGACGGATTTGGGGGATTTGCTGCTAGATGAACTCTGGAGCTATGACATTGAGACTGACCGCTGGACTTTACAAAGTGAAGGCGCAGGGCCCCCTCCACGTGAGGAGCATGTAGCAGTGCATGCTGAAGGAGCGATTTGGATCCATGGTGGCTGGGCAGGATCACCTGCAGGACAGCTCGATGACCTTTGGTCCTACAATATATCCGCTGGGCGCTGGGATCTGATGAACAATCTTGCAGGACCCTGGGCACGTAATCGCCACGTTGCCGTGTATGCTTCCGGTAGACTTTGGCTTCATGGCGGATTTGGCAGAACAGATCTGGGTGGTACGTCGCTACTGGATGACCTGTGGAGCTATAACATTGATACTGGCAACTGGAGTTTACAAAGTGAAGGAACGGGACCCTCTCCACGCATGGACCATGTCGCAGTATATGCTGAGGGAGTGATTTGGGTCCATGGTGGCTGGGGAGGATCAGATGCAGGACAGCTTAACGATTTGTGGTCCTTTCAAATTTCTGGCGGGCAGTGGAACCTGATGAACACTGCCGAAAGACCTCCGAGTCGGTATCACCATGCTGTTGCTTCCGCTGGAGGGCTGATCTTCATTCAGGGCGGCTGGGGAGGCGACGCAGCTGGCATGTTCGACGACGTCTGGTCCTACGATCCTGAATCTGGACTTTGGGCTCTGAGACCAGGCTTAACTAAACTGTACTTTCAAGTTCATCCTGCTTTCCAGAGCTTTGTGTTCTTCCTCCTGCGACTGTCGTCAAAGAGCAGTCTTGTATCTGTACAGTCAGAGAAGATGCTCGTTCTTGTACGTAATATGCAGTCTTCATAGAACGACAGCCGAGGAGAAGCAAAGGCACTGGACCGCCTGATCGAGTAAGTTATGCTGCTGTGCATGCGGCGGGGAAACTATGGATTCATGGAGGCCCGCAAGTCGAAAATGAGAACACCTAAGATGGTGTTTGTTACCCTAGACTTTTCAGTTTTGGAAGTCCACAGCAGCCTTTGCTCATCCCTTTTCCCTGTGTTACGGATGCCGCGGCACACCGCTGCTCCTAGCAAGGTTCCAAATGGGGTGAACCAGAATAGGTTCTCAGCTAATTCTATGTAAGTTTGCTCCGGTTTTTATTTGAGGTTCCAGTCCTCGCTCGGGCCACAACCCGCATTTCGGTGACTTGTGGTGCTTGGACCTGAGCACGGTCTCTTGGCGGCAAGAGCCCTGGCTGCATTTTCAGCAGACTTTTCATCCTGCTCTCGCGTGAAGCTGTTCTTATTCGGCGGAGGAACATGGGCAATTCGACCCCTCAGTCGGGCTGATCATGCTGTCACTGAACTTGCTCACCTTTCTAGTCTGTCATTGCGGTGGTCGGCTCTGCTGTCTGGCGAGATCCAGGCGGATGCGATGGAGCTGTAAGCAGGTGGGCTGCAGAGCGGTTTTGCGCTTTTTCGCACTTCTTGCTACCTTAGACACCGCGGAGCAGGAGGTTTGTGGATGGATTGCTCGACCCCTTGCCTCCTTGTGTCTGTCGATCCTGGCTGGGGTCTTGGTGCCAAGTGCGATGTACTTGTGGGAACTGGTACCGATCACTATAGCACTAAACGTAGTATGTTTCAGCTTTCTGTTTCTGTGCTTTGATCAGCCGCGCGTCCGTGCCTTGGAACGATACAAAGCAAGATGGCGCGAGTCCTCGTTGTCTGATCCCGTGTACCTGACCGGCTTTCTTCTGAATGCAGACATTCGGCTGGTGCGGTTGGAGTATCTGCAGGAGTTGCTACAAGAAGGGCACGCGCTGCCTCGCAGGCAAGAAGCGGAGCATGCAAGCGTGAAGTCTACGGGGCAGACAGCTGTGGTCTCCCATGCTGAGATGCTAGCCTCTTTGCTGAAATGTTCGGGGAGGGGCAACAGCTACTGTAGGCGAACGCTGAAGTCCAAGCCCTGAGGCTTGAACTCCAAAGCTGCGGTGCTGGGTCTTGATTCCAACAGTCAGCCAAGGCTTGGGCCGCGAAGATGCGTGGAACTCGCAGTGGCCAGATGGCAAGCCCTATCATTGTCGCAGCTCCTCCTGAAAAGCAAACATTTGCTATCCGTAAATCCGAAGAATAAGTTGTGTGAACTGTTCACACTGCATGTAGCGCCCTTTGCATAGCAAGTCTGACAAAGTACCCTAGACCCTGGCACCCTTCAGTTCAACATGGACCCCAGCACTTCACCTGGCCTGTTCGCAAGGTCAGCCACTGCTGGGAGACCCGAGAACATCCTGATCCTTGGGGCTACCAGCTGGAGACCATCGTGAGATCTTTGCAGAAGTTGCAGCAGGAAGCTTGCTGGACACTGGGGAGTAGTTTTGTTTGCCTGAGACAGGCCCCCAAGGTCTCAAGGGCCCGCACTAAGAGCATTTGCTCCATGAGCACCCGGTCGAGCTACGAAGGGCGAAAGTGCCAATGGGACCCAGGTGTGTAAATTTCAATGCTTGCATGGGGTTTCTTTTTGCCTTCCTGTTCTCTGCACTTGCCCTGCATGCTTGCCTGTGCCGTGTCTCGGGGTCGGGGCGGGGGTGTGGCATGTGAGGCCTGCGTTGCTTGTGAACTCACTCTGCGGGAGCGAGACAATGCTAGTGCCCATCCTTTTGCCGGGCAATAGCATCATATTCTATATTGTTCGTCTCTCTCTGTTTCTCGTGTTGTCTCATGGTTTTTTGTGGGCCGTTCTTGAACACGCGGTCTGATGAAAGGGCGGCTTGCGGCGACAGCCAAGGATGAGTTTCACGAGATCTTGGGTGTGTTCATTGACTATACCTGCCTTTACCAGTTCAAGCGCAAGAGACGGCACGAGGAGGAGAGTTTCAGAGCAGCGATGGAGAATATGTCTGTGCTATATGCGCACGAGTGGACTCAGACACTATGCGTAATAGATCAGACGCCGGAGTCCTACAAAAGCAGCAGCGCTGGCAGAATCTCTGTTTATTGTCCAGACGAGGATGAATTGCAGGACAGGCCAATCACCAGCTTGGTGCCAAACACGACAGACTACGAACTACGTGGGTGGTGTTTGGCAGAATTGCAATGGTCCAGTCTTCGAGCTTCAGAAGTATATCGGAACCCGCTCCATCCCAGCAGCGCCTTGCCAAACCAACATTTGTGGGCACGCCGGTCTCCAATGGCACCCTACAAGTTTCGCAGTGAGTTGGCGAAGAGAGAGATCAAGTTCACACACAGGTCCGATTTCACGCCTCTGATCGCAGCACAGCAGGCAGCGTTCGACGACAAGGCACGCCAGTGTGACAGACTCGGATTCTGGGATCTGCCGGCCGGTGAGGTGGAGATTCTTGGAGAGGCTGTGTACTTCTTCCCGCACGTACAGACTCTGATTCTGGAGCGGTGTCCTGCCAATGTGGAGGGATTCATTCGAAATCTTTCGTTCAGCACCTCCCTGGAGCATGCATTCTTGGTGAATAGTATGAAGAAGGTTTTACTTCTTGACCCATCGAAAGAGGTGATGCATGCATATTGCCTTTTGTACTGTTTTCTGGAAGAACATATACGTCCGAAACCCTAAACCCTAAACCCTAAACACATAAGTCCCAAGGTATTCATGCGGAGCGCTGAGATCGGAGACGCAGAAGCCAAGGTCCCTGCTCAGCGAGCGGTCGGGAAGGTTGCGAATTGAGGGACCCTGAACCTTAGACTGGACCTCCAACTGGGCCCTGAACCCTAAACGCCAAAACCCCAAAGCTTACAGGGAACTCCAGAAAGTTGGAATATGGTTTCAGGGTAGGATACCCTATAATTTACCATAAAGGGTTTAGGATAATCATATTCCAACTTTCTGGCTTCTACTGTATGGTTGCCTGATCATACAGGTCCTCGAAGCTGTGACAAGGATGTTGCGATTCGAAAAGGGTGCTCAAAAGGCCTGAACCCTAAAACCTAAACCTAAACGGCCCAGGCCCCTAATCTCTAGAACCCCTGCAAAGCTTTAAACCCTGCCAAAACATCTTGACTCAAAAACCTGAACCAGGGATCATCAACGCCCCGCGTTTCTAGAATTTTCAAAAAGCATAGAGCCCAATAGCGCCTTTGCTTAGCCGACCCTTCAACTTAAACCTTATGAAGTCTGTACAAACCCCGAGAAAAAATGCATATAGGCGGAAAAAGACTAAACCTAACCCCTCTTGAGCGTTATGTATATAAGCCCCTTGTTTTTTTAAACCTTGAGAAGGTCATCGCCGAATTCCTTCCAAGTTCCAAGTGGAAGACGATCGCGTTGGCGGACAACCACATCGGAGACGAAGGATTGCTAGGTTTGAGGGTTTGGTTCCCTTAAGGGTTTAGGGCTTAGAGTTTAGGTTTCAGGGTTCAGAGTTCAGTGATGCTTGGGGTTTTGGATGTTCAGCGCTTGTGGGGAGCTTATAAGGTTGTATGCTAGCTTGTGCTGGCTTGTTTCCCACTATGAGGTCTTTTCAGGTTCCTGCAACAAAGAAGGCTTCCGTAAGCTTTTGTATCAGGTTATTATAGGGTTTCTAACTCTATAAGGGTTCTCAAAAGGTTGCGCAAGGCTTCGATAAGAGCTCTCGGGGTTTATTCTGCGAAGGATCCCAAGCTAGGGACTCGGGGTTGAGGGTTTTGGCCTCGGGATGTTTGGGGCCTGCCCAGAGAGCCCAATACCCCTTAATTAAGGAATCTGGCTTAAATTATAAGGGGCTTCATATTATGATTTAAGCTATATTCCTTAATTTAAGGGGTATCGGAAACCCTAATCCCTATAGATCCTTGTAGACCCCTTTTAAAGGAACCCTATATATAGGTATATTCCTTAATTAAGGGGCCCCTTTGGGGTATTGGGCTCTCTGGGTGTGATCTAGGCTTTGGGTTTAGGGTTTCGGGTTTCCGTTCCTTTCCAGACTAGTGGTCAAGCGTGGCCCTAGCCAGACCCGTAAGAGGATCTGGAAACAGATTCCGTTTAGGCTAGCCTACAAAGTGCCCTTTCGTAGTATTTAAGGCATCGAACTTGCAAATTGAAGGTTCGACTTTCTACTCCCGGGGTCTGGGGCCATCCCTAGTCCAATGCATCCTCTCAGTGACGAATGAAGAAACCCCAAGCCCGTCCAACATCCGTTACACAAGACGTAAACCCAATAACCCCGGAACCTCAAGCCGCATTCGGCCCACAAAGGCGAGAGCCCGAACCGGTTCAACAACACTTTTGGCAAGAGCTAGGCTCGTTGGACGGTTTGCTAAAGCTGGCTACCCGGGTGCTGTTATGTTGTTTTTGCAACTTCAGATAGGCTGTAGAACAAAACCAATGGAGGGGTCAGGGTACTAGTACGTAGCAGGATCCCCTTTTAGACCTCATGTACCGATGGGACAAAATTAAAGCCAATTGCACAGGAGCCGCTCACCTAGCAGGCGCCGTGAAGGCGATCCACACGCGCCTGGAAGGTCTGCAGCAAACAAGGCAGATGCTGATGGTGAAAGAATCTGCTTTCACCTTCGGTTCCGAGGGTTGAGTTCGAATTGTGTCTCATTTAGGTATCGCCAGATTGGCCTTCATCAGAGCAGCCAGCGTGCGACACTCCACATATCACGAAGCTGGTCTTTTGAAAGTCCAAAATCATCTTCGAGGCTCATTACCTGCAGCAGTGCCCTGAATCCTAAAACCCAATCCGTAAACCCCTAATCTTAAATCCTACGTGGGTGGTTGTCAAAATTATGGCCCCTTTTTGGGCACCCTAATTATTAGGAGCCGTACTATAATAAGGACCCAAAAAGGGACCATCATTTTCACAACCAGCCACATCTCTCTGAGAGGCCTCAGAGCTTCCTGATGGACCTCACTGGGAACTGGATCAGGGAGTCCGGGCTTGCTGCTTTCAAGGCGCTTGCTGCCTTGCAGGCTGCGAACTCCCAGCAGGCGTGTTGAAACACTTATCCTTAACCCTTTGCGCCGAACCAGAACCACAGGGTTTAGATCAACAAGGCTTATATGAAAGGAACCCAAAATCTTATTTTTGTATGTGGTTGGCTTTATCTGTGTTTAAAAGTTTTTAAAAGTCGTTTAACGATTTTATTTGTATTTTAAAGTTTTTTTTCGTATTCAAAAGTTTTTAAAAGTATTTTAACGTTTTTATTTGTCTTTTAATGTCTTTATTTGGTTTTAAGGTTTATATTTTTGTGAATTATAAGTATTTGGTTGTGATTGAGTCAAGTGGCTTCCTGTTGTTCTACCTGGTTTCCTGCTGTTGTACGTCTACAAATTTGTTGTTTATTTGTTTTTGAAATTATTATTTCATCAATTTAAAATTTTTTGGTTGTGATTGCGTCAAATGATAAACGGCATCCTGCTGTTCAACCTGGCTTCCTGCTGTTCTACGTCTACAAATTTGTTTTGTTTGTTTTTAAAATTGTTTATCAATTTAAGTTGGGGGTTGTGATTGATTCTAAGGGTTTAAGGTGTCCTTTGAAATGCCTTCCCCACATGGATTCGAGCGGTGCAGTGGTGTGTCGTACAGTAGTAGTACAAGTAATAGCACAGTAGTAATGCAGTAGTACAATAGTAGTACCGTAATTAGTAGTGACGAAACGCAGATCCCCAAATCACGCAGATTTGTATTAAAAATAAGTTCCCAAATCATGAACCGCAAGGGCTCCCCCTACGGCTGTCTAAAAACTCGCAGCTCGCAAGGGGTGTCCGGTGCCTGTCCCCATAGCAAAATCATCAAATCGCAAGGCGTGTCCCTCGAAAGTAGGGGGTGGGTCGGGTGCGGGGGGGTGGGGTCGGCTGGGGGGCTGGGCTGGCTGGGGCCACGATTTGGCGTCTTGGAATTGGGCTGTGCTGGTGTTGGGGCTGGGGGGATGGCCAGTCCCCGGCTCAATCACCCCAGTGTGGATTGCTTTTCCTAAATCCGTGACCAGACTGAGCCAGGTTTTCTATATCTTGTTTTGCTTCCAAGCAGGAGGCGACGTTGTGATTCGTTTTGTGTAAAGAAGTTTTGGGCCAAGACACACAACAACAGACTTGCACAAAACAGTCACCAAGCAAACACAAACAAGTAGCAACATGCCAAGCGCATGCGAATACTTAAATTGACTAATAGCATCACCCCATTAATACAGGTTAATGTGAGGGTCCTTCTGACTAGTTGATGCGTGTTTCCTGTGCTTATTCGGGCCTGTATCAAAAAATGTGGCCTTAATGATTAGTGCGTTCTTTGTTGGGCCGACTGATTTTTTTGTACTTCTCTTCTACGACTGTCCTACTACTGTACTATTACAATACTAATGCACTGCTGTACAGGAGTGTAGGCCGGACGAAAAAAGTTTTCAACATGAAAGGCTTTTAGTGGTGCTATCTTGGAGTGATCGTGGTTTGGATTTTGGTCGTGCCCACACCCCGCTAAACAACTCCAGGTACTCCCACACCCTCGTAATGTACCCCTACTGTACTACCACTTTACTACTACCCTCTTACTACTGTACTTCTGTACTACTATTGCACTGCTACTGTAAAACCTAATGGGACACCCCTTGCGGGCCCCAGGCCCCAACCCCAGCCCACCACCGCATCTGTTAGCAAAATCTGGCGGAAGTGAGCCGCAACCGAGCGGAAAGCCTGTAAATACCGCGTTAAAACAACGGCCAGGGATCCCACACATCTGCGGGCAAAATCTGGCGGAAGTGATCCGCCACCGAGCAAAAAGCCTGTAAATACCGCATTAAACAGAGGGCCAGGGATTTCACACATCTGTTGGCAAAATCTGGAGCCAGATTTTGCCAACAGATGTGTGAAATCCCTGGCCCTCTGTTTAATGCGGTATTTACAGGCTTTTTGCTCGGTGGCGGATCACTTCCGCCAGATTTTGCCCGCAGATGTGTGGGATCCCTGGCGGTTGTTTTAACGCGGTATTTACAGGCTTTCTGCTCGGTCGCGGCTCGCAGGGAAGGCTGGGCGTGCGGAAGCAGGCAGGCATGGGCTGGGGGACTGGCGGGTGGGGCGGGCCCTCTCTCCTTGACTACACCCTTTTCTCCCTTCACCCACCCCACCCAGCCTCTCTCCTTGACTACACCCTTTTCTCCCTTCACCCACCCCACCCAACCGCCCCAGCCCCAACAGCCCCAGCCCCAGCAGCCCCCGCAGCCCCAGCCCCAGCAGCCCCCGCAGCCCCAGCCCCAGCAGCCCCAGCCGAGCAGCCCCAGCCCCAGCCCCAGCAGCATTTTATCATGAAGCCTTTTCTGGAAGATCGGCCCGGCAAAATCTTAGAAGACATTTGTGGCACTTGTGGCACGCCCCGGAAAAATCTTATTAAATCTTAATGAATCTTATTAAATCTTATTGAATCTTATTGAATCTTATTAGATCTTATTGAATCTTATTGGTCCATCATGTTTAAAAGGGACACCGACTCCAGACCGCCCCAAAAAATCTTATTGAATCTTAGAAGACATTTGTACAATTGTGGCACGCCCCGGAATCTTATTGAATCTTATTAAATCTTATTAAATCTTATTGAATCTTATTGAATCTTATTGAATCTTATTGAATCTTATTGAATCTTATTT